ATAATTAGTCTTGCCGGTTGCCGGCAGCGTCAACATCAGGACAGGAATTTGGGAACCCCTAAATCGCCTGGTATAAGATACAGCGGAATATACCTTGCTGGTATCAGTAAAGGCTTCGTAAACTCAGGGGTTGGAATTTGGCGCTATGGGGCGCTCAAGATAGCGTCAGGTGGTTTTAGTGAGCGCCAAGCCAGACAAACCCAGCGCCAGCAGCAACTGCATAGGCTTTAATTAACTGGGAAGCCGTAACAGTTACATTCCTCTGTCTACTACTTGTAGCTCAAATTGTGCCAGCAAACCTGCATAATTGTCAGTTGTCAGTGAATATGCTGTCTGTATGTAACTAGAACAAGAGAGAGATTACGTAGCTATGAGAAGACAAGCTGACCGAAGGATTGTGTTACTGTTGGCGATGATCGTCGTAGTGACTGTACTAGTAGTCTGGCGGCGAGGGTACGATAGCCAGGGAGGGAAAGGGTTTGTCTTGACTCTGGAGTACACCGGACAGTTGGTAGCCGGTCTTCGAGGACTTCAAAGTCAGCAGTGTTGGATATCGTCTTTTGGTCTGCCTCTTGTCATTGTGGAGCCCTTCCTAAGCAATTCTACCCTCCGAATCAACTCCAATCAAGATCCTTGGAGCCAGAATTCGATGCACTTTCGAGATATATTTGATCTGAATCACTTCAATGGAAAATCTAATGCATCAGGCCTCCCCGTTCTTGTATCCCGGGAGCATTTACTTACCTCTGCACCCAGGAAGGTAATTGTTGTTACTTTTGACTCTGTGTATAGCCACGGATGTCTGCGTTTCACTGAAAAAACCTGCACCTCTTCAGATTCGGCGGAAGAAAGCTCTTTTGCTCCTTGCAATATTCCCACTCACACCCAATGGGTCCTTCGCTCTTTACAACAGCAGAATTTTGGGGTTGTTCGGAGTGTGTGCTTCAGTTGCTTGGATGATAGTGTAAAATCCTCCCCAAGTGCCATTACAAAACAGATACTTGGTCCTTACGATGCACGAGATGTAACTATCGTCATCAACAAGTGGAAATTTTCGTTCACACTTTCAAGTGACTGCAAAAAAACTTGCACAGAATTGCAGTTTCAGAGCTACATCGAGAGCCCACGTGTAGTGAGAGACACGAGATGGTATGCTCAAACGTACTTCCCGACTGAAAAGTTTGTGGCAGTTGCTCTTCGCATGGAGTGGTACCTCATAAGCCAGAAGGAAGAGGGAGATATTGCACACTCTGCCGTCAAATGCCTTTCCGAGGTTACGGAAGCAGTTGAACGGTATCAAATTCAACTCGGAGGCTCTAGTAATGTTAGCCCGTTTCTGACCATGGATATTGGCACTTATGGTAGCACTACGTTTAAAGACACCCTAAGGCACACAAACACAAGTGAATCACTCTATAACAAGACGCTGAGCGTAACAAAGGACTTTGTGAAGGAGCTGTATGGAGGGTCGTGGACATTCAAGGATTGGGAGGAGAGTTTTTTGAGAGTTCCTGGTGTTGCCGGAGAGAAGGCATACATAGGAGCCGTGCAGCGCTCCATTGCTTCTCGGGGAGAGTGTCTGATATTGATGGGTGGTGGACATTTTCAGCACATGATCCTGGAAGCTTACATAGCACTACACCCAGATAGGACGAAAAGGTGTATCAAGCTTGTGTGTATGGCCCGGCCTTTTCTGAGAATGTTTACTGGTATAATCTCCTCGACATAAGTGTGTCTCTTGTGTGTATAGTTTTGTAGTTTTTACTCTTGTATCATTGATAGGTTATTTCATCACCTCTTGTTATCATTTTTATCCTACGTTATGGTCACTCAACACCGCTTGCTCTGTGTACCTTTGAGGCACAAGCTGTTATAACGAAGGGAGTGTATCGACTCCCACGTGCTATATATTAATTGTGTAGCTAGCAGGTGTGAGGCTAGTAGAGCAGGTGACCACGAGTAAGCACATACTCAGAAGCCCAGCCCTTCAATTACCGGTACCGGGCATGCACAGTGCGGGCCCAGTGGGTCGAAGCTTCCAGTAGTATTGCCCCAAGAGCAAAGTCTGACTAGTGTTTGTCGAGCTATAGTACTGCGCATTTAGGAAATGATGCCTACACCCAGATGTAAGCCATAACTGTCTTTTGGGCCAATGTATATATACTTTCCTACCTCCATGTTTCTTTCAACATCCTAAAATGGTTTGTGCACATGAAGTGCGTATTTTTAACTATAAGGATGTGTAAGTTGTTTTGCTCAAGTAAGAGAGGGTTGGTCACTCAGCATTTGGTGGAAACGATATAGCTACAACAGGTCCATAGAAAAATTAATGTCTATACTGCACTTTAAACATAGTCTGCATGCAGAGCTCCACTTTGGAGACTATACGCATTACTTTTTTTATGGCCTGAGTTTACCGTAAAGTCACAATGTATGTACCCACAGCGGTACAGAGTGGGTAATATAATAGTGATGTGTTCTGTAAGTGTACTCCATTGCTACATACATGTCTCATATATTCTGTGAATTACATCAAAATGGTGAGTTCATTCCAAGTTTGGTTTCGAACTCGAGCTTTAAATGTCTCTGGAGTTTCACCACAAGTTTTCTGTCTCTGTACTTGAGTAGCTCGTGAGCAATAACGAGAGGAACACACCACAATATCCCCACCACCCACACGTAGGCAGGAACGACTGACATGTCGTATGAAGTTGAAGATTTATAGGCCAAAGTCTGCGAAACTATAGTGTAGACGATTTGAAGAAAGACCGCGAGTGAAACAGAGGCAATGTATGGCCACGATATGTGTCTGTAGAGTCGCCACAAGGGATCGGTTCGATGAATAAATCGTATGGAGTGAGCGACTAAATGTAGGGAGAAGAGAAGGGCTGTAACGTCCTGTGCCAGAGAGAGCCCCTGCTCGTTAACTCCTCTCCACCCATTCCATAAAGAAGACTCGTTACGATTACCTAATAGAGGGTGACAGTCAGACATACTCTCGGGGACAGACGAACATAACGTCGAGAGTGTCAATCCAAACAGAACCAGCGATACGAGCACTGAGGGTAGAAACGTGCAACAAAAGTGAACAATTCCCAAGAGCTTTTCATTCAAAACCTTCCTCTTTCGGCTTGGCATCTGCGTCTTTATTGCGGGGTCAAAGGTTGACGACAGGAAAGAGAGCGAGACCAGTGGTATACTGAACAGAAGAAACATGAATATGTGGCCACCGGAGAAGGGAGGGGGCAGAAATAAAATGGTGGCCGCTAGCATCAGAATACTAATACTGAGGGTTTCCCCAAGTCCCAAACAGGAGACCGTGACGAATGGAGTTCACGATGTGCCGGGACTGAGTCACAGAGTCCAGGATCCTCACGTTGCCCTGACGGTGGACACACAGCTGGCAGAGAGCCGTGTTCAAGTAGGAGGCCATCTCGAGGGGAGTTGGCCACAGGGGGAAGCGGGGGTTCGTCTGCGTCTGGGGAGGGTTCCCGAAATTGTTGTCCGACACGGATGTGCTAAGGGTCCCGTCTTTGTTGCTCTCGGGGTCCTGACAACAGTGTAGGCTGGCAGACTCGGGGATGATGCTCAGACTCACATCGGCCTGGGCAAATATGCTGAGGTTGTCCGGGTTCCACGCGTTTCCGAGGCACATGACAACCTCTCCATTTTCCTGCATGATCTCAATCATCTCACGGATGGCATCCACGGTACAGTCGGTGAAGAGAGGAACGAGGAGAGGAACGTTGTCGACGTTGTTGAGGTGCGGGCGGATGTTGCGGATCCCTTTCGGTAGCTTAGCTCGGATGTACGACTGAAAAGCGTTGATGACCGAATTCAGACTCGAAGACGTGCTGGAGGACTGTGAATCCAATTCTTGCTCATCGTTGGAATCTGGAGACACCTGTTCGTCCTCGCTGCCTGGAGTGAGGGAGATGTGGCAGTTCCAGCCGGCTTCGAGGCCAAGCTTCTCGGCAAAAACCTTTCCCCGTAGCTCGTTCTCGTTGGTGAAGTAAACAAACCTTATCCCGGTCGACTCTAGGTCTTCTATGAGGTGCACAATGTCTGCCTTTGGTTGAAACTGGAGCGACACCACGCCCAGAAAAACCTGGTTGCAAACGAGATTAGAAAATAGCTGCTCGCCAGAAAAGCCTGCGACAGCCGTGCTACTGGCACCCTCGCCAAACACGGGGGTATTTGGATAGTTGTCAGCCTGAATCCTGTCCTTTGGGAATGTGCAGGCCAATGTTCTTCTCCAGTAGCGACGATAGGTCAAAGTCCACCAGGGGGTTGTAAGCGAGCGTCACGCAGTACGAAGTGAGGTGTCTTCGTCTGAAAAACACTTCAATCTCGCCTCGCTCGATGTTTGTCATCGGTTGAAGGTCCTTCCCGTCCCAGAAATCACTGCAGCATGCTGCCACCATGTCCCCGCTGCCCCTACTCATTATCAGGTAATTCCCACTAGTCTTGTCCGTAAGCACAGACGAAAGCAAGTGCGGTTGAATGAAGTTCTCCGTCAACAGAGTGGCAGGTGGCTTACGCCCTAAGGTCGCAATCTTTTCTTCAGACTTTGACACATCGCTGACACCAAAGAGCAGACCAACTTTGGTGAAATTGCTCGTGAGATATTGGTTGACTCCGATCTGGACGCCCAACGAACACACGCAGCTTGTCTTGCTCATGTTGCTCCTCACGTACTCGCTGCAGTGGCCTGGGGACCACGAGTACGGATCCCGCAGACAGTGAGACGTCGCGAGGCAGCTGATTCCTATCGGTTTGAGCGACCCGAGAAACGACTCCCAGTTGAGGTCGTCGAAACCGAGACCCGATTGATTCACGAGGTCGGGCGAAAGGTCGAGAATTTCGCCGACTAGCTCAAAGTGTGACGCAAGGGACATTGCCGAGCTCGACAGTGCCTGAGAGAACCTGTTAGTTTGTGAAGCATCCTCGTGAACGGGAACCCTGGACACTTGCAAACCGGATCGCTCAGACAGAGTGGCAGAGTCCTGAGACAAGAAACGTGACGGCATTTTCTTGGGGTTGGGTGGCGGTTTATCTGCTTCATTTGCTAGAGGGACTGCCTCGGCAATCGCTGTGCTAGCGTTCCGAGGTGACGTAGAAGAAAGTATGGCTGAGTCACTACCTGCCCTTGACATCTCGGTTGGCAGAGGCTTCACAGCTTTTTCTAGCTCTTGTGTCGACTTGCACGTGGGTATGCTGCTCCCTTCAATCCGTCCTTCGTGGGCTCCATCTACTGACACTGTCTCCACATGCACTTCAACACAAGTCTCCAGTTTCCCCAGACACTTTGAGCACCTGTTCCGGTGCGATAAGTTCTCCTCTCCCTTTCCCTTCGCTTCTGCCCCGTCTTCTGTCGATATCCTAAAGATTTTTCCGTCAGTTGACGGCTGCCCCAGTGTCTTTTGGTAAAACATCTTCCAAAGACCTCCGTGTCAGAAAGAAAACCTTCTCAGGGACAGGTACACTGTCTGTCAATACATACTCTTTATCAATGGAGCAAAGCGAAGTCAGACTTCCAAGGATATGGAACACCCGATAGTTGGGGTACATTGATGGACAAACCAGTAAAACCACCATCTTCTTCAAAACTTTGCCCACGTTTCTGAATCGCATGAAAATAGTGTTACTGTGCCCAATGGGACTGGACTCTGGGTCTTTCTCAGCGAGTAAAACAATCTTTGCCGTTCCGTAGAGGTTCACGAATGCCCACATGAGTGGCAAGACCGGTTGAAGTAGGGCAAGAACGGTGTACACCTGCAGTTGCAGTATCATCTCGGTCCAGTGACCGAAATCGTCGGGTAAGACAGAGAATCGGATGACGTTCCACACAAGAGACACTCCCAGTGTGACGAGTATGAGGACATTGTTTGCCAGTAGAGTGTGCGTCTTTTGCCGCGATAGAACGGACGTTGCCCTTTTCTTTTGGAGTGTGTTACGAAACGTGGCTATGATGGGGGTTTGCATCACGACAAACGTGGCCCTCTTCTCTTCCCCCACAATCCTAACACCATCTCCTCTCTCACCGTCGTAGTCTTGGAACAGCTCCGTGGGAGGAAAGTTTCCCCTCTCAACGTGAACGTTGGTAGCTATTCCCTTCGAGTTCAAGTAGGTCGCATTAGCAGGGGAAGGAATGTCCCTATAGAGTTCTATAACGTCCCCTTGAACTACAAGACTGCAGGGAAGATTCACGAGACGGCCATCTCTATGAGCGTGGACGGTAAAGTGCCCTCTGAGAGTGTTTATGGACCGTGACGGGTAAGATGCTGCCGTCCATGGACACACCGTGTCGAGAAAAGGTCTCACTTTGGACAGAAGCCGTCTTATTTTCCGAGTCTTGATAATGTACACTTCCCAACAGAACAGCGCACAATTGACATAGGAAAAGGAGATTAGGATGAGGGCATGAAGCAGAGTGGATCCGTTTTGTTCTGGCGAGAGTGAAAAGTCGATCACGAGAAGTAGCCCAGCAAGGGCGAGCCCAAGGCATACTAGAAGTGTGTAGGGAGGTTGCCTTATCTCCCTCAGCCAGTTTACTCTCCCCAGTCTGTGGCATAGGTGTTCTAGCTGTCTTTGGAGCTTCTCCTGGGCCTCCTGAGAACTTAGCCCGTGACCAGCCATGGAAAAGTATTCCTGGACACATGCAGTAAGTTACGACAGAGAAACGATTTAGCATGATATGATCTGGGTGCGTGTGTGCGACGATAACTGACCTGGTACAAGCTCTTGGCCTTGTGCAAGCCAGGACGGCAGCACTGTTTTTCGACACACCTCTAATTAACACACAGCTGAGCGGAATTGTTGGTGCGCTTTTATTAGAGTAATGGATCTTTTTCGCAGCCCCGTTTGCGGCGGCGGGGAGAGCGGAGACCCGTGCAACGAGCATAATTGCGCCCATCAAGCAGTACTCTACCCCCCATCTTACTTTAGAACTGCGGACGCTGCTGGTCCGGCCGAAGGAGAGGAATCGGTACCTGCCGCGACTAGTCCTGCCAGCACTTACGTGGTGTCCAGGCATGCCAGTCCGAGTCCTTTGCAACACAGAGACACCTGCAGCGAACAGGAGGAGGATATAGCAGCCCTTAGAAGAGAGAATGAATCACTGAGGCACGTTGTGTAACCACAGAATGTTTGCAAGTGTATGCAGCTGGTTGCTGTTCCACAGATCTCAATTGCAGGCTGTGGGCTTCAGTGCAAGTTCCAATGCTGCAATGCACCATCCTTGCATATCCCAGTGTCCTCCGGCCGTCCTCACTTCTGACTTGTTGCAGGTGATGGCAGTGACCTGCACCTCAGAAAGGCCATCAAACTTAGTGCCAAGCTCCAGTGGACACAGCAGGCAGCTGTACTAGCTATATTCAGAACACTAGCGTACCTTATGCCCTAATTTAACAGTTTGGGTACAGTCTACAGAAGTTTCCCCTTCAAACTTGTGGGTGGGGATATTTTGTGGTGGCATGCCGGACAAGCAATCGGCAAGATTCTATACATACTGCAAACTACACCTGCTTGTGTGTTTTTGTGTAGGTGGAGCGAAGTTTGCAGAGTCGGGTGGTCCAGCTAGAGTCTGAGGGGCGGAGACTGGCAGAGCAGCTGGCAGAGTCACAGACGTCTCTCAGAGAGGAGAGAGCCTCTCACACCAGAGACCGGGACAATCTCATGTCAGTCTCTAACAACTATATAATAGTGAAACCTCTGAATAAGGGACACCTTGGGGACATCGAAATTGTCCTTTATTCTTGTCCTTTATTCAAAATGTCCTTTATTGTGAGTGTGAGGTAAAATTACAGAATGCACTAATATGAGTGTAGAGCAGAACCAAGTGTCCTTTAGAGAGGGGTGTTCTATATTCAGAGGGTCCTTTTCCGAGGTTTCACTGTACTGTTTATGAGCTATTATATTGCAGGCCTGCACGGGTATGGGGGCACTTTACAAAAGGTGTTTCTACAGACGATTGGCTATTGCTAGAAACAAAGCCAATTGAAGAACGAGTGCTGACTGCCTTGTGCACATTATAATATGCATGCAATGTGAGGCTTTAAATGGAAGTTGTGTATGTGCAGAGCTCCTTTCGGCATGATTAAGAGCTAAGGCTAAATTCAGTGAATGTTAATAACTTCCACTGGGTTTTACTAAAATTATTCTGCCTTAAAATGTGTTGATGCAGAGTGCAGCACCGTGCAGAGGTGGAGCAAGTGACGAGTGATAGGGGTGAGGCCGAGGAGAGGTGGCGGAGGGAGTGTGAGGAGTGGAGGGTGAGAGTTGGGAGGGCCGAGGAGGGGGAGAGGGAGAGGATGGACGAGCTGAAACTTGCTGAGCAGAAACTAGCATGTGTGACACAGGAAAAAACTGGTACGGTGGACACTCATCGGGGAACTACTGTATTAAAATTGCTCTTAAGTATGAACCATAAGTGAGGTATATGCACAAAGATAACAAATCAAAGACACATAATAGTAATATGTGAATTTAGTGTATGTGAATGTGTAAAGTAGTGTGTGGGTCAATAAAAACCTACCCTTATACAATACATTAGGTTGTGAAAGGGATGTGTAGTGTATTAAGTGTATGTGAACGTGTAAAGTGTATGTGACATAATGTTAAGTGTGGGTCAATAAAAGCCTAGTCCTATACAGTACATAGGCTGAAATGGATAGCAATCGTTGATTACATAATGTATTGCCTACTGTATGTTATCCATCCACAGAAGTGTGTGGCCAGTTGGAGCAGGAGAGGAGTGGCCACACAGAAGAGGTGGCCTCACTGCAGCTCCAGCTGACGGCAGCCACAGACCAGAATGAGTGAGTCTATATACCAAACACATTCTTATGACGGCATGTGTACTTCTTACATTGTGCTTCAGTCACTGTATGAAATTATGGCATACCAGACTGGTGTTGTACAAGTCAATGTGTTTTAAACTGCAAGTGATGTGGCGTGTGGTGGGAATCTCGAGAAAGAAAGCTATTGCCAATCGAGAGATTTTTACCGACAAAATTTGCACAAAAGAACGTCCAAACAGACGACTCTTTCGTAGACTGTTCTCAAAATCTCAACCCCAACAATTTTCCACATAATTACTAAAATATAGCTTGTCCGGGTTTTTTTTATTTTAATTTCGACTTTTGTAGACTGAAAAGGTTTAACTGTGTAGACTTGAAGTAACTTTGGGAGACTCACTGGGAAGGTTTAGACTCAATAATGTGTACCCCACACTCTCCAGGAAGATCCAGGGAGAGCTGGAGGCAGCGAGACAGTGTGTGCATCGTCTGGAGTCCTACCTGGGAGGGGAGTTGCCCGAGGAGGGACTCACCTGGAGGGACGAGAGGACAGCTCTGCTGACTAGGATACTAGTACGTCACCTGTACTCTGTGGTGTATTAACCTTCCGAAGAAAAAAGGCGTAAGGTTTTTTTAGAGAAGTGAATAGGCCACACTGAATCGATTGGGTCTAGTCCCAGACAGCGCTGTGCACTGTGGAAATTGGGTGGCCCAAAATTTTCATACTGTTCGCAATCGTGTGATGAAGAACTTGCCAAACAACCACCCCATGTACCCTGAGTCCATGTAGTGGAAGATGCCCTGCTAATACATAACCCTTGGCAGACAAAAAGTTGAGTGAAAGACAGAGCTACATACCAACCATCGCAAACATCTTGATTGTGCTTTATGAGGGCAAAAAGTAGCTGCAGCAAGCAGAGGTGTAGTAAGTATGACAAGGATGGGTAAAGCGGGGCATGGTAGTGTTTTGCAATGGTAATGAAGTTGTGGGGACATGAACACTGTGTTTATTGCAGGAGATGGAGGGAGAAAGAGAGAGAGGTGAGAGAGAGACTCACCTAATGGCTGTCCGGCTGGCTGCCATCTCTGAGATACTCTCTCTGCAAGAAACTGCTCTGCAGGTATACTGACATGTAGCGTGGTATATATTTTTGCAAGAGGTGCGTGAGTATTTATGCATACCTCACTGAATATTGAATGTGCATGTATAGTACATGTATATCAATATACTATGGTTGGTGGGTGAATTGGTACTATACCATTGTGAAGGGAAAAGGAGTTGGTGCTGTGGAAAAGGCCAGAGCTGAGGAAATAGGCTCCTCGCCAAAAGAACCAGGAGATGGAGATGTAGCAACTCAAGGAGGAGGGGAGGGAGGGTTGAAGAGCCTGCTGACTCTCTGGAGGGAGAAGGTGTTTGCTCTGCTGGTCCAGGCGAGACTGACCCAGATGCAGCACGGACAAGAGCTCATCAACACACAGGCCAGGGTGAGTCACTCCTGCACACCCCTCTCCAGTTCGTGCATGCACTGAGTCCTCACGCCCTAGCCTCTCTCTCTCTCTGCATGTGGCCTCACCACGTGCGCTCACACATGTGTGGGCTAGACTACATGTACGTAGGTGGCTATGCCTGCGCTTCATCATTCCACCAGACTTCATAATATTAAACCACCTTTTGGAAGCATAATTATATTACGTCATATTTCATCCAGGGAGTTCTTGTGTTGTCTCTCTGTTTCATTCGTGTTTTTTTTCATGTACATACATACATACATCATACAGTCCCTATTGACATGCACTACTGTGCGACGGAGTACTTGAGATCTGTAAGTTGTACGTGTCCACTGCAGGTGAGTGCTCTGGCAGGTGAGGTGGGAGAGAGACAGAGAGAGAGGGACCTGGTGACCCACACACTCACAGACAGAACTGCCCAACTCCAGCTACTCACCACCCAGAATGAGGTATATACCATCCATATTTCTGCATTGTACAATGGAGCTTTGGAGATTTTAGTGAGTCCTTGTGATCAACATAGGCGCCATTGCCATAGATACCATAAGCTACACTGCTGGCTGTTTTATTGAGGAGTGAAGCGAGCCTACCTAGTCAGTTCAATGTTGGAATTTTCTGTATTAATGATTATTTCTTATTTAATGTGACGGCTCTGTCGGGCACTGCACATACCGTAATGTTTTACATACGTGATTCTAAATATGCACAAAACACAGGTGAAATATTGAACTGCTCACAAACAACGTGTTGCATTCCTCTAGTACACTATAAAATTAAAAATTAATTCAAGCTGCTACTAACCATATTAGGAGCTTGGTAGATGTGTCCAGAGAGCGGAGGAGGGCTGGATGGCCAGTCAGACTGCAGCAGATGGTCTCTCTGAGGGTCTCCATCTAGCCCTGACTGGGGTGGGCCAGAGGTGGGCCAGGCTCAAGTCTTGTCTCGATGGCTGTCTCTCAAGACTCGCCAGCTACCAACAGAGAGTGGGTGTGGCCACTGGGAGAGTCGCTGCTCTCAAAGGTCACTGGGGACAAACTACATGGGACACAGGCCAGCGTTTTTTCCCGAAAATCAGTTCTTTGAGAATGTTTGTCCAATATTTTATCCTTGTCCGCCAAGAATTTTCTTACTGTTAACATAAACACAGAGGGGACTGGCCAGCGTTGTTTTCTAGAAATTATACCACATTATGCCCTTATTTTTTGTACATTTGATACGTGTGCAGTTCTTGTTGGTAGCCAGATGGTGCTGGGAGGAGGGAAGATTACCAGGGACAACCCCCCGCGAGGAGATTATGTCATTGCTGAGAGATATGATGTCACCACTCAGACGGAGCCTTCAGAGAAAGCACAGGACCTCTCAAAGTATTATAGTTACTGTGTTTGCAGCATGTCTTGGGAATCAGTATATAGTCTAGTGCCCTTTGACACTTCCGTACTGGACAAACTTTCAGTTTACCTCACAAAAGTACGCGTTTTCGTACTCCATTGTCTTTCCATCGTCTAGTCTAACTCCTAGCCCCGCCCACTTCTCGTAGTCCATTGTCTATGATTTATAAGTTAGAACCCAAACTTTCAAACTTTTATCACTTTGTGTTTAGTGTGTAAGTGGCCAGAGCCCTACACAGCGTACGTACGTATGTATGATTGTGTTGTAGCAGACTAGAAGCCGTTGCTCAGTAATGAACCTTCTGGTATATCAAGAATGCACGACGGACCCGCTGTCCATACAGCATAATATGGGCAAGATGTTGAAGATGTTGGTTGTTAATAATGGTGTACTATAATATGTGATGTACATAGGTTGCCAGTGGAGGTGTTGGTGGAAGAGGTTGTGTCACTGACGAGAGAGAGAGACAGTCTCAGTCGCCAGTTGGCCTACAGCACACTCTCCCTCCAGCAACTCACTGCTTCAGGTCAGACTCACTACATTATTACTGCATATGTCCAAATTTCCCTTTGGGCTTTTGGATACCTCATACATAGTGAAGTAATCCACATTAGCGTGTTTGTGATGCACCCATGAACTGTGCCCCTCCATTACATGTACATACAAATTTTATACCTCCACATCCTACATACCATGTGTATGTACACTGAGGTTTAAAACCTCATTGTTGACATTGGCGCCTACTGAATTATAACTGTATCGTGCATAGGTTTTTATGCAGAATTTATACAGCTTTTATAGTGTTTTGTTGACATTGACACCTACTGTATTTTGTATTAGCTCACTTCCTTGCAGTAATGTTTATGATTTAAGATTAATGAGGTGTTATAGCCGCAGAGAGACAAGATGTGTTGGAGCAGAGCTGCACGGCCCTGACTGCTGCCAACAGCTCTCTCAGAGAGGAGCTGGAGGGGGCCAGGGTAGACCTTGATACTGTCAGGAGTGAGCTGGAAGGACACCGGGAGAGAGAGGCCCAGCTGGTCTCTGCTCAGGCCTCCCTACAAACACGTGGGTCTAAAAGTACTATGATGAAGGCCTCCCTACAAACACGTGGGTCTATAAGTACTATGATGAAGGCCTCCCTACAAACACGTGGGTCTAAAAGTACTATGATGAAGGCCTCCCTACAAACACGTGGGTCTATAAGTTAATATGGTGAAGGCCTCCCTACAAACACGTGGGTCTACATATAAGTTAATATGGTGAAGGCCACCCTACAAACACGTGGGTCTACATATAAGTTAATATGGTGAAGGCCTCCCTACAAACACGTGGGGCTAAAAGTTAATAATATGGTGAAGGCCTCCCTACAAACATATGGTCCGTGAAGATGTACAACTTCTGTCATGTTGGAGAAGCTGGCCATCTTTAAGCTGGCAGTGTGTAGAAGTTGATGTATGTAAGGGGTATTTCGTCAGTGTCTGCCTCCAGTTATTGTAGGCCATACTAACATGGTTATTTGTCAGGGTGGTAATCAATTCCTATCATTCTTGGAAGTCTTATGAATGGAGATGAATACATACACAGACCTACTCTCAATAGTACAGTGATCAAAATGGCTGACAGACTGCGGTATGTGTCTATGTATGCAGGTATAGACGGAGCAGTGATGGAGGAGAGAAGGAGGGGACGGGAGCTGTTGAGTGAGGCCCAAGCCTCACTGGAGGTGGCCCGCAGAGAGCAGACCAAGACTGCCCTCCAGCTACAGAGGTCACAGAGGAAGGTCTGTGTTAGAAAGCTCATAATTATCCCTAGTCTAGCAGAGAGGCCATACTTCTCTCTCTCTCTCTCTCTCTCTCTCTCTGCTCGAACAAGAACAACATGAGAGTACCATTTATTTTCTTGTTCAACCTTCTTGCCTTTACCTACATAGTCCAATGTTCCCTCACGTACACTATAATTATCTGGACAGATGCGTTTATGTATGTATAAAGAGTGACCCATTCACAGTGAGTGTAGCTACTGTGCTGTCTGTGTACAGTTGGAGGAGGAGAGGGCAGGAGCAGTGGAGGCAGTAGAGGTGGCCAGACAGGGACTGGAGGAGGAGCTACAGAGATGTCGAGACAGACTCAGAGCTGTCCAGGTGGAGAGGAACCTTCTCCTGGTACGTGTAGCTAGGTCTGTCATCCTCTCCTTAGCTAACCCACCTAGGCTTTATTAACCCTCGTCTGTGTGCATGGGCAGCGAGGGTTACTGTACTTGGTCTGTGTGTGTGTGTGTCGATGCTTATTCTGGCACAACAAGCTACGAAGCGGTCTATATATGAGTGATACCAACGGCTTCAGACCTACGCGAGCTGGAAGAATAAAATGGAGTTTTTCCTGAATCTACTGCGTTCGAGAGATATGGCGTGAAAACATGCGAAAAAGCCAACAATAATGTATAATCACACTGGGCTTATCTTGACCTGATCCTATTGCTTGGAGGAGGCACAAGAAGTCACAACGGAGGGCGTGCCCTTCTTTAGTTCTCTCTTGTACTGTAAGAAATAAAATGCAGGTTTCATGTTTCAAAAAGGCTTGTTGAAGTTCCTGCTGTTCTGTGTAAGACTGTGCAGTGTAACTGTCACACCTTCAGACAAGGCATTTTCTCCTTCCTTCAGTAGTTAATATAATACTGCACTATATAGAACAGTGAACGCCCAAACTGTGTCGAGAAGTTTTTCTATTGTGACCTGTCCTTTGCGGGAGGTTCTACTATACTGTATTTTAATCTCTCGCTAGACAACTCTCCGCCAGGAGGGCATCAAGGTTCCTCCAAGGAAACCGGCTCTGAAACTTGAACTGAAACATCCAGGAAAAGAACTTTGCCATCTCCAACAGACACATCAAAACATCCCAGTCACCAACACTGGGGGACAAGAACCTTTTATACCTGCTGCCAGCAAATTGTATCCGTCAACTGAAGCTGTTGAGAATGGCCACTCTGTGACTGATTGTCCCTCTCGCTATCCTCCTTCTCCTTCTCCTCCTACCTCTGCAACCAACAGAGGTTCTGCTCATGACTCTGGTGATAGTTGTGATAGTGGTGAGAACGGTGAAGGTGGTGAGGGTGCCGATGGTAGGGTATCTAAAGTGCTGGAAATGCAGGAGACTAATGGGACATCCCCAGCATCTCATCTTACAAGTAGCAGAAACTATGATTCCAGTGAAGGTATAATTAAGTCTACCGAAGTGTATTACGATGTTGTGACTAATGGTGCTGTTTATTTCCTCAGATGATATTCATAATGTTCTAAAGGAGCTCCAGTTACTGTCCACAGCTTTACTGGACATGAATGTAGCCAAATATCACTGAATAAAAATGTATGTGGAATGGATTTGCGCACGCAAAAAAAACGCAGACTGTTCTGTGGTGGTAAACTTGTGGGCGCGCGGGTGTGTGTGTGTGTGTAAAAGTACTAGATGCTGCGCCTTTTGCGCATGCGTAGTGCGTGACAGTCCGGAGCTTTTGGTTGGGCATGGTAGCCACATTCTAAATTTTGCCATACCAGGAAAACGGGTTAAACCTCTTCACCTATTATAACGTTTGCCACTGGTCACACATGCAGGGAATCTATGCATGTGGCCAGCTCATGTAAGTCATGTTGGAGTGTTTCCCACTCTATCAATTCATGGGTTTGCAGCCAAGTGGTCAGGATTCCTGCACGATTTACACATGCTTTATGCATGTGACGGAGTCATGTGTTGTCTTACACCTACCGAGCAGCACTATAAATAGCTAGTGCAATCGCTGGTGCGCATGCACTGGGCGGATCGGAGAGTCTGCGTTTGTGCGCCGGCCGACTGCAGTATCCATCTACATTCATCCAGGGCGAGTAAAAGCGGTGGTGTTATGGACGTGTATAGAGGGACCGTAGTCCATTGTCTGAGGCCCCAGGAGATGGAGCTACTACCAGACCACCTGATCGGCGTGGAGAACGGGCAGGTGCGTGCGCGGCCGTCTGCATGTGAGCAGACGGAACCGTCAACTATTATACCGTCATAACGTGCATGCTAAGTTCGCGCTGTGTCTGCTAAAATTATCATTCTACCTCTTTTCATTAGCTGAGCATGTAGTAAGCCATTAGCTAGAGTTGGAACACAGCCATTACTAATAACTACACACACAGTAAGGCCTCACACAACAAGGCACACAAGGATCAAGTTTGTAGATTTTGGAGAGCTACTCCTAAGTACCCATGGGATTGGAAGGTATACAGGAATATACCCGACGTGCTTGTCTGTCAGTACCACACACGAGGGCGGTACAGACAGTATAGACCTGTATGCCTTCCAAACTCAGTGGGGTGTATAATAGTTACTACGAATTGTTGCCGGAAGCTTTGATTTCTATGGCTTATAGGCTAGCTACAAAGCATAAGTAATAGTATAGTATTCCATTATTTCAGATCAAGTTTGTTGAGCCAGGGGAAAGGCTGGAAGAGCTAAAGGAACAGCATAGCTTCACAGTCCACACTTTGCCCAACAGGTTAGACACATTTATCATGTTTTAGGTAAGTGCACCCTTAATGTTTGAGAACATCCATCATTTTTGTACTCGGCTTAATAGTGTGCTAAACGCAATGTTATGTGTAAGTGTGCTTTGTTTCTCCTCCCGCCCTATCTCCCCTTTTCCTACCGCTATAACAGTCAGTTCCTGATGCCGGGGCTAGTAGATGCCCACAATCACCCCTCACAGTACAGCTACACTGGAACTGGCTATGATCTGAGCATTCAGCAGCGACTGGAGATGTTCAAGATTCCTACCGAGGCAAAGTTTGCAGACATTGAGACTGCCAGAACAATCTACCAAAAAGCGGTGGTATGTTTACACAATACTCATAATAGGGCCAGAAACCTTAAAGGGTATTATAACAAACCATGCATGCCTTCTATTCTAGTTTCTGTTTTTAGCAGCACTCACAGACTAGTTTTAAAAACCCTGTTAGGCTAGGCTTAAATTTAAGAATTCTGCCCGTAAGCTTCACTGATTCATGATAGATATTCATAAGGCCTATGGAATGTATATACCTTTCTGCAATGTTAGAGCATATTCATTATACATTGCTCGATAGCTTTACTTGCACCCTCAGCAACCCCCTGTCTGACCATCTGCTACTGTTCATGAATGACATGTAATATAGTACTGTGTTTGCTGTGTTTGCCTCTTAGGACTGTAGACCTATGCATACTGCCTATGGCACACTTTTCGTTATGAATATATACCCAGCATAATATTTTATTGATGCTCTGTTTCTTATTAGTGATAATGTACAGCAATGCAGTGGATGGTGTGAATCTTAAGCTTTTGATCGTTACTGTATAAAACCACAGTATGTGATTCATATCAAGTGTATCAGAATATCCATTTGCAGAGGCGGAGTCTACTAAACGGCACAACCACTGCATCTTACCTGGCCACAGTGCATCTGGATAGCACCATGGAGCTCTGCAGAATCTGCGGTAGCTATATACACTAAAAATAAAATACTGATGCTGTAAAAGTGTATGTTTTGACACAAACCTCCCAATAAGGGACAACCTCCGAATAAAAGACAGCTGCCTGTGTATACCGAGGTGTCCCTTATTAAGAGGTTCCACTGTATAAGCAAGTTTATAACTGCCATGTGTGTGTGTGTGTGGTAACAGCTGATGCAGGTCAGAGAGTCCATGTAGGAAAGGTGAACATGGATCATGAACAGACAAAAAATTCAACACAACACTCTGTGGAGGAGACTCGCAAGTCAGTGCATACATGTACATAGCACAGTCTCCCACTAACAGAGATCATTATATAGCTACGTATTAAGAAGTTTGAACACAACTGAGTATTATAGCTACGTACTAGGAGTGCAGATAAGGATAATGATGTTGTTTGCTTTGCTGCTGTAATGTTGTGATATAAAATACACACAGGTTTATCAAGTCTGTGAGAGAAATGAAGGTACAGTCTTATCCTCAAAACATGCTCTCTTATAGCATTAGCACTCTTCTTACACCCACAAGTTTAGTGACAGGTTTCTGTGCTGTATGGTTTGGGTTGCCTTGCGTATACGTGCCTTTCCTGCTGAGCTGCCCTTGTAGCACTCTGTCTAGAAAGCCAGGGGTTCGAGTCCCACTTGATATCTACTTGCCTTGCATGTTTACGCCCCATGATTAATGCAGATGTTGGCGCATTATAATAATTATATATGTACCTATACTAACACACACTTGCCTTGTGTTTATATTATACCCCATGATTAATTGTCCATTATACCTGTTACTAACAGTACACTTCACTCTCAACATACAACTGACATAATGTCTACCCAGAACCCACTGATGGAGCCTGCGGTGGCCCCGAGGTTTGCCTCCACGTGTTCCCAGCCTCTGCTGAAGGCCCTGGGGGACCTGGCCAGTGAGCTGGCCGTCCCCATCCACAGCCACCTGGGCCAGCAGAGAGAGGAGGTCACCAGACTACTCCAAGACAACCCCAGCAGCAGAAACCCCGCCCACCTCTTTGAAATGGCCGGCATGCTCAACTCCAGGGTATGTTACAAAACGCAGGGTAAGTAAAAGCATGGGAGGTATCTACTGTATAATATTATATACCTGTTCTGTGGTTGATTTTCCTCACTGCGCAGATATTAGTCCTTGCTGCAGCAGCGTACAGTGCATCCAGAATGATTGTCTGTCATTTTAGATATAGTGCGATACTTTGCTAGTATATGTGCACGAATGTCAATCGTTGTTATGGCAGAATGGTCTCTCACCGATCTAGACCTACATGGCCCACTGTGTCTATACGACAGAGCAAGAGGTGGAACTGTTAAGAGAAAGACAGGTTGGAGTTGTCCACTGCCCCAACTCCAACTTCAGGTCCAGTCTAAAACACCTCGTTTGTCCTTGACCTACTATGATATGGTGCCCTACGTAGCTTTTATACAGTGAACCTCTGAGTGAGGGACAATTATATGGTTTTGATCCTTGTAAAAAGTCGTCCATATTTTGGAGGTCAAATAATACACTAAAGTATTAGCATGGGGTTGAAACAAGTGTCCTTTTTAGAGAGGTTGTCCCTTATACCTCGGAGGGTCCTCTGTAAGCCATTCCCAAACGCACACACACACAGTCAATTGGTCCGTGTTTCTGTTAAAATTAGAGACGATTCTCCTTTGCATGATTCTCTTGCAAGTTTGCACAACGAAGAAAAACCGCGATGACTGTTGTTAAAACAGCATCAGGTTTTGTGTTAGAGGATCAGATACAACACAGCTAGCATTTGTATTTGAAAGAGTAATCTGCCCACAGCTTGAGGAGTGGGTGTCTGGATGTACGTGGACTGCTGCACTGTGGAGTCACAAAGATTGCCCTTGGCACAGGTGATGTGATGACATGCGTAGGTTTAATTGGTGGGCAATGCCTATAATCATATTTATTCCGTGATTTTCTTTTCTATTTGTATGTACAGGGCATTCCCATCCCACACAAAATAGTACATTGTTTGCTCGTACATAATGTTGCACTAATACACTATCGTATGTACGTACACAGATGTATCAGGAGGCTACACTTCCTCCATTCTGGACGCCATGAGGTGTGCTCTCCACACCTCCAAAGCCGTGTGTTTCAAGAATGACGGACAGCATTATGACCCTTTGACCCTGCCCGAAGTCCTCTACATGGCCACAATGGGCGGAGCCAGTGGTGAGGGAACTACACACACATCCGAGTCTGCAATAATTGGCAAACGATTGAATGTGGGGATCTTTATTTGATGGGGACTGCACATACCGTAATGTTCTACGTGATTTCTAGAAATGATTGAATGTCATTCTAAAAACACGCGAAAAATTGAACTGCTCGCGCTTGCTTGCCAAAAAACGAGTAGCATTCATTCTAGTAAGTATCTTCTGGGCCAGTGCAGGCTGTTTCCAAAGTGGATGCACACTTACAAAAAACTGTTTTGTCTGCAGTACTTGGTCTTGATGCAAAGATTGGAAATTTCCAGGTGAGTCAACAGTAGTAGGCATGTTGTAGCTATATACCCACTGACACCCTACTTTCTCACTGTGTAAATAACCTATCTCTGCGATACATACACAGGTGGGGAAGGAGTTTGACGCTCTGATCATAGACACTGCTGCACCCTGTGGCAATCCAGTCTTTGATTTGTTTGAGAACGACACAAACAAGGTTTGTTCCTACACACTGCCTCTAAACTAGTTCCCGAGTAATTCATTCTCGTACTATATAACATACATACAGGATAAGGTCTCAAAGTTTTTCTATCTTGGTGAGTCAGTCTTGCTCTCATGGTGTTTGATTGCAATAAGTTCTTACTGTGTATTATAATGCAGGTGATGACAGAAACATTGTTAGTCGATTTGTTGCAGGAAAGAAAATAATCGTCTAACTTTTTATGCCTCTGTTTTTATTACATGTTGTACAGAACATCTATTACAGGAAAGACAATAATCCATGTTGTATTTTTAGAACTATTATACTACAGGTCTATGAGACTCTAAATCTCAATGTCTACTGC